GTTAGTCCGTCTGCAGCAACCAGGGCTAACGTTAGTCCGTCTGCAGCAACCAGGGCTAACGTTAGTCCGTCTGCAGCAACCAGGGCTAACGTTAGCCCGTCTGCAGCAGCCAGGGCTAATGTTAGCCCATCTCCAGCAGCCCTCTCTCTTCATAGCCGTGTCTGAAGAACCGTTGGCTCTGGTAGAAGTTTTCTATTTGTTTATTTGGCAAAATGTTCATTTGATTTGTGTTTATCTGACTGTGTTCATAATTACTGCGATAATAAATGAAAAAAAGTAAAAAAAAAAAAATATTATCTAGAGACTATCAATAACAGAGTAGCTTTGAATTTGGTGATGTCATCAGTATGCCTCTGTTCCAATTGACCCAGCTGAAAATTGGCCGCTATGCCACATTATGCTCCTGTTCAATGACAGACAGGAAGAAGCACGTTAGCTTAGTCTCTAGCAGCAGCAGTGGAGTTTGGAGATCCAATCCACTTCTTAAATCTATCTTTGTTCTCCTCTAATTTATCCAGAAGTTCCTCAATCACACTTTTTCTCTGGCTCCCAACCAGGTGATCGGCTGCATATTTAGTGTGCCTTCCATCAGCGCCGGTTCCCCTTAAGGCTGTGTTCCTTCACTTCCTTCCGTTTCCCTGTACAACGTACGTCAAGTTACCAGTTTGATTTCCATTTACCTTTCATGGGGGAACCCTGAAGACCCGCAGTGGGAACCACCACTACCCCCATCCCAGGACCTCTGCGGCACGGAAAGTTTTCTGGGCTGTACTTTTCATTGATCACCTCCACAAAGGAACGACCCGCCCTCTCCTCTGGGGGCTCCATGGCGCCTTCTTCGGAGTGGCCTTTTCTTCAGCTGTGAACATCATAACATCACAAAACTAAGCTCGTATCTCACCAATAGGCAAAGGTTTTTAATGGTTTGGGTTTATCTGAATGAATAAAGAATAAAAAAATAAGTTAGAAAGAAACTAAAGTAGCTAAAATGGCCACCAGGGGGCAGTGTACAGTACCCAGGGGGGGAAAAGTCAAGCTTACATAAGTTTAATGGCTTTCTGCTAGTGATGTTATGAGATGAGCCGAGGCTTTGAGGCGCATGTCGAGTAGTGGATAAGTGGGCCGGTGTAGATGTAAAACTGCCAGAGCCGAAAATCGTTCCCAGTCCGAGCATCCAGGCAAATATTCATTCGTTAGAGAAAGACGTGTCCAGCAACAAAGTACAAATGTTTCATTACTTTACTGAAGTAGACTGAAGTTTTACTTTCTATTTCTTACATTTTAAAAATAGACTTGTTAGTTTTGTTTCATTTGAGCTCATTTTCATTCTGGTCTGTTGATATTTAAAAAACAAAAAAAAAACCCATTAAAATAATTTGTTTGATCCAGACAATTAATTTCTTTGTGGTTGGATTCGGTGCTGCCCCAACTTGTTGTTCACCACATACCACAATAAATCATTTGTAACCATTTGTTATAAAACTAAGAAAATGAAGTCTAAGGAAGTTATCATCCAGAATTGTAGAAAAATGTTCCTTTAATAGAGTAGAGCAGTAAAGCTTCTGGCCTTCACAGATTTTCCTGCATTAATTTTACTTTTATACTTTAAGTAGTTTTAAAATTTGTACAATTACACTTTCACTGGAGTAAAAGAGTAAAGCGTTTTTAAAGAGCAGGATTTATACTGGAGGAATAAACATGAATACCGTAAATCCTCTAATATTGGCCTGTAGTCCGTTAGCAGCCGGGTCTCTAATAATGGCCGGTTTTGCTTAGCTTTCCATTAGCTTGGGAATTCCCATCGTTAGCGCAGACAGTGCTGCAGACAGGAGGCCGGATTGTTTGGTTTTTATGACCGGCTGTGATGGCAGAACAGTTTCCATTCATTTATTTTAAAACTTTGTTTGGCCAAGAATCCATTCTGTGTCTTTTTTTTTGTATTGCCGTGCAGAAAAATAGCAGCTGCTGGAAGATGTCTGAATAATGTTCTGTAAACCGTTATGGTAACTGTACTTTTTCAATAAATTAACCTAGTATTTTATCGGTTCAAAGAGACACAATCTGTTTTTATTCATTCCACTGGTCGTCTGTTTTAATCAAATAGAAATAGAGGCCTGCCTCTAATTCTGGCCTCCTTCCAATAATGGCCTGGACCAACATGCACCTGAGTGAAATAAAGGCCCCGGCCTATATTAGAGGATTTACGGTATGATTAGAAACATGAACTTGTTTCTAATTATGTAAATAGTTGGGAAGGTGGTGGAGCAGGGGTTAAACATACAGCCCACATACAGAGCCTTTGGTCCTTATCGTGGATGTTGCAGGTTCGAGTCCTGGCCCTGTTGACCTTTGCCACATCTCTTCCCCATCAATTCTATTTCCTATCTGTTTACTTTTAAAAATTTCAGAATAGAAAGTCTAAAAACAAATCAGAAGAAGGATGTAATATTGACTTATACACTGTGCAGCTACTCTGCTTTTTAACTGATCAAATCATTTGTGAGGTCATTCATGTCACAAGAGGGACTCAGAGGACTGGCATTGATTTAATGCAATAAAATGTCATATTCTTAGTTCCTGAGACACGAAAGCTCTGTCAGCTGCGTTTATTCAACCTGGAGTCTGCAAGCTTCTCTGAAATGAAAAGATGGCGGTTGTTAGTTTATCATATGTCAGGTCACCAGCAGGCAGAGTTCAGTGTCTGCGAGGAATAACAGAACAGAAAAAATATTTCTCCTCCATATGTGTAAGTGCTGTTGAATTCTTGTTAAAATTAATCATTCATAATTTATGTTGTTGTTTAGGTATAAACTTTATACGAGTAAGTTCATGTGCGTGTTATAAGATAAAACACGGGTTCATTTTATAATTTATTTTATAAGTTTATTCTTTTCTGCGCTGTTATGTTTTAGCAAGGAACCAATGTTCATACTTGCGTATCACTACGTTAAAATTAAGAGATGCTACACTATGAAGCTAGATTGCAAAGCCTGATGCAAGCTGTGAAGAACCTCTCTTCACGACAAGCGGCTAATGAGTTATTATTATTAGTTTTAATGATAAATCTGTTTATACTTATGCAGCGCAGCATCTTGCTCTTAGTTGTACTTGTACACTCTTTGTTTGACCTGATATATATATATATATATATATATATATATATATATATATATATATATATATATATATATATATATATTTGTGTCTGTACAGTTCTCAGGTCATAAAAGATGTAAATGGAGTGTCATGTTGAACGACATGAGAGAAAAGACGAAATAAATGCCAGTTCAAGAGAAACTGATCCGTGTCTGTCGTGACGAGAGCTACAATATGTATCAAGATGTTATGACTGAAAACATGTGATTGACAGATGACTGTTGATATATGATTGGCCGAATTTAGGTGTTCAGGCTGACGTAGAACTAACCTGCATTAGATAACGGAAAAAATAAAATAGATTTTAAGACAGGATTTTTTTTTTTTAAATAGAAATTTTCTAAATTTTGGGACAATATGATCTGATAAAGAGAACATTTATATACATCTTTAAGCCAGAATGATTTGACATTTAAATATGATTTCCCTACTATGATTTTTCTTTTCTAAGAAGACTTTCACCGGACGGACGGTGTGGATCTGTCCGTCCGAAGCCAAACGACCCCCATTCCAAAGGGGGGGACCCGTTCATCCGTTTC